GGAAAAATAGGAATCACTTCCTGAAACAGGAACAGAAAATCCCTCCACTGAGGAGGAAAAACCACAAGCTTCGAAAAATGAAAAAAACTGATTAGACAAGAACCATAGAAACACAAGGAATGATCAGACAAGCAAAACACTGGTGGCTACGGTGGCCCTGAAGTCCAAACTACAACTACCGGTCACTGGTCACACATCTACAAACAACATTAACTAAGAACATCTACAAATGACAAAAACACAATCACGAAAGCTCAACTACACAATACAAAAACACAATTACAAAAACACAGCAGTTAACGTTGTTGTGTTTTACTAATTTGTTTTTTGTTTCAAATAATGTGGTGTTTTTTATTCCTTTTCTGTTTCACAAAAACAATTACAAAAAAAAAGGAATGAGCTCTGTTGTGACTCCCTGTTTTGGTTTCATGCAGCATGCAGGATCTGATCTTCAGCGGCCCGACAAACGTCACCGTGCACAAGACCTCGCAGGACGAGTTTGTCCTCAGATGGACGCCGGTCCCAGACGACCTGGGAGATCATTTCCCAATCTGCTTTGCGGCGGAATCTGCAGCAGGGTGAGATGTGATCCAGTTTGCCAGGATTGGTTTAATGTTAATGTTGTCATTATTACTACACAACACAGTTTATTTTGTACTTCTGGTTATTTATCACAGGTCCTAATTAGTCCTACTTTTACATGTTTAATACTTTCTGTACATAAGGATATTTTTTTGTTTTTTTTGTAATTTCCCAGCTTTATTTGATTTTCATTTGTACAATTCTTTATTTAATTAAATTTGATTTAATTTATTTGAATTAAACTTAATTTAAATCTTTATTTTATTCCATTTTATTTATTAGATCAGTGTCATTTAATCTTTATTTTTCTATATCGTATGATTGTATATGTATTCATGTATTGGATTCGGATAGTTTGATTTCCTTTAATGTACAAAGTAATTTCCATATTTCACATAGTTTTTATATTCTTTCTATCTATCTATCTATCTATCTATCTATCTATCTATCTATCTATCTATCTATCTATCTATCTATCTATCTATCTATCTATCTATCTATCTATCTATCTATCTATCTATCTATCTATCTATCTATCATTAAGTTTCTGTTGTTTTCAGGTCCAGGATTTATCAGTCTGAGATGAGGTGTGTTTTTGTGGACATCGGAACACAGAAAAGTGAGTCTAAAGTTTAACTCCTGAAGAAAAAAGCGTCCGTATTTTACCGTACTTTAAAAACACAACAAGCTGTTTTTTCCCTGCAGCATCTGGTTGGACAAAAAAATAAACATTTTTAGAAAACTGTTTCTGACATTTTTTGAGTAGTTTAAACAAGCAAGAAGGTTTGGGTTGGGTGTTAGGGTTAGGGGTCAGAAGGTTAGGGTTAGGTGTCAGAAGGTTAGGGTTGGGGGTTGGGGGTTAGGGTGTCAGGGTTTAGGGTTAGTTGTCAGAGGGTTAGAGTTGGGGTTAGCCAAAGTCGATAAATGGACATCCAAACAGATCACCAGCCAATGCAACGTTCCACCAAACAGCATATAACCTAATTGTGTCTTCCCATTATAAAAATGGTGCACCACTTTCAGCAGATGTGCTTAGAATGTTTTCTTGTTCCAGTCCAAGCCACAGTGACCTGCACTGAATCCACAATGACGGTGGAGGTGGACAAGTCTTCCTTCTTTGGACTTGAAGAGGATCACCTTCAACTCAGTGACCCCACCAACACGGTCTGTGACCTGGAGAGGTACTCCAACAGCACCCACATCGTCGGGGTCATCCCCCTGAATGCCTGCGGCACTCAGATCGAGGTAACCAGCTGGCTTTGGAGGCATCTCGCATTTCTGTCCAGCAGTCAGCCTGAAACGTGATCGATCTCTCTGCAGGAGGACGACGACTACCTCTACTTCAAGAACGAGATCACCACGGTTGAGGACACCCACCCGGCGCTGATCACCAGGAAGCACCTGGTGGAGGCTCGTTTCTACTGCCAGTACCCCAAGAGGGGGAATGTGACCCTGGGGTTTACAGCCCACAGGAAGAACGTCACCGTGTGGGAGAGGGGCTTCGGCAGTTTCACCTACCAGTTTGAGTTCTATCCTGACAACCAGTTTGGGGCCATGATAGACCCAAACTTGTACCCGCTGGAATACGACCTGGGGAGCAGGATCTACATGCAGATTGAAGCCTCCACCTCAGTCAACAACACCGAGATGTTTGTGGAGTCCTGCAGAGCTGCGCCGTACGACAACCCCAACTACCACCCGACCTACTCCATCATTGAGAACGGGTAGGAGGGGAAAAGGGGCTTTCAAATTATGCCAGCAGAGCAAATTGAGGTGTTCTTTAATTGGTTGATTCCTCCACAGCCAACCGAACTGGCTTTTGGTTGTTTTCACGTTGTCACTTCTTGGGTTTTTGGTTTTTTTAATGTCTCTGTTTCATCATTTCCTGTTTTATTTTGAAATGGTAACCCTCCTCTTGCTTTATGGTCCCTTCCTCTTATGGGACCAGTCTATCTTCCCTGATTCCTGGTTGTGTCCACCTGTCATCTCTTCCCATCATGAGTATTTATAGTCTGTGTCTCCCCTGGTCTGAAGTCAGTGTTTTTGCTTGTAAGATAATTTCTAGTGTGTCTTTGTCCTTGTCATATCTTATCTTGTGTTGACTTGTCTTGTCTTGTCATGTCATGTCATGTCATGTCTTGTCTTCTTGTCTTGTCTCTTCATCCATTCATCCATTATCGTAACCGCTTATTACTTAATGGGTTCGCAACTGCCTATCCCAGTATTCAATGGGCGAGAGGCGGACGGTCACACCCCAGATTGTCTGCCAGTCCATCGCAGGGCAGTGTCTTGTCATGTCTTGTCATATCTTGTCATGTCCTGTCTTGTCTTGTCTTGTCTTGTCTTGTCTTGTCTTGTCTTGTCTTGTCTTGTCTTGTCTTGTCTTGTCTTGTCTTGTCATGTCTTGTCATATCTTGTCTTGTCTTGTCAAATTTGGACATATCTTGTCCAGAACTCTTTCTGGTTTTATGTTGTTCAGAAACAGGCCTAAATGTTTCCTTTTGTGTCTCTCAGCTGCACGATTGACTCCACAGTTCAGATCCACCCGCCCTCCCATAACAAGCAGTTCCAGTTCAGCATAGAGGCCTTCAAGTTCATCGGCCTGCACGACCAGGTGAGGATGCTTTAAAAAAACAAGTTGTTGGTTTTTGGTTGGTTTCAGCGACGAAATGGAGTAAACCATAAAGGACCCTGGAGTGCAGTTCCGAAGGCTCTGCCTTCCATTCTACCTTTACAACCTAGGAACCAAAGAGAAGGACCTGATAACCGAAGGCTGTGCCTCCCATTCTACTTTACAAACTTGGAACCACTTAGATGGGCCTGATAACCAAAGGCTGTGCCTCCCTCTCTACTTTGACAACCTAGGAACCAAAGAAAAGGGCCTGATCCCAAAGGCTCTGCCTCCCATTCTACCTTTACAACCTAAGAAGGAAAATGAGGGTCCTGATAACCGAAAGCTCTGCCTACTATTCTACTTTTATAATCTAGGAA